CTTCAACAAAATCTCCATTTCCTGTAGCAGCTTGTACACTTTGCTCCAAGATTTCCAATATTTTGCAGTTGGAGTTTCCTACTCTGGTAACTTGTCTTTATAAGCTTACACCTTTATCTAAGAGCTAAATGAGAAAAACTAGTGATTTGCTGTGGCTCTGCAGCGTGATCTAATGATGTGAAAATATGCTATTATAGGTTAATGTTCCTAATCTTGAATGGCTTCAATATTTGGTGAAATCCCGTATTTAGAACAAAGGCATCATAGCAGGAGGTGATTTAAATGGAGTTTGTGTAGGCAGCTGCTTTTCTCAGGAAATTCTTGTGAAGTTGTGTGCCCTTGTTTTTTGCTGCATGTGGAAATCGGGCATTCAAGAGCTCGAAATAATAATTCCATTTAACTTTTTAATGGCCACTTGGACTGTGTTGCAAACACGGCCCGAGATTAGAAATGCTGACACAGAACAACTCGGTGCACTGGAGAAAGAAACAGTTTCTCTTTCCTCTCTGCCCCGAGGGGTTGCTGCAAAGGGAACTTTCACACAAGGCCTGAGTCAGGTCCCAGCTGTCCTTCCTTGGAGTATTAATTTACCCTGTTTTCCTTTATGGTGAAATATTTATGTTCCAAGCAGCGTCCCACTGTGGGAGGTGTGTAAGGTAAAGCAGTCCCTGTCCTGTTAGTCAGGAGTGGATCCTTACACACTCCAGGCTGAAGTCCTGCTTTCCTTTGGCAAATGTTTTGTGGGAAGGGGGGAAAAAAACCCAAACAACTGTTTTCTCATGAATTGCTTTTCTTGGAATTGTCAGTTTACTACTTCTGAGTGTTAAACATTCTTCTCTTTTTCTCTGGAAATCTTTGCAGCCAACTTTCACCTAATTTGTTATCAGAGAAACCTCCCTCCGTTTATTTGTCAACTTTTTATCTGAAACTTTGATATTTAAATGGAAAGTTTTATGCTGGTGATATCAGCATCTTAATGTTAGTGGGCATTCAGCAAAAATTAAAATTAGAGTTTGAAACCACACTCCTTTGTCATGCTGGTGTCAGGGGTTTTTTATTTTTAAACAAAACTGAAATCTGATTCTGGTTGGGGAACTTTGTGTTTTAGCTGAGATAATAGAGAGTTTGGAAGTAGGAGGGTTCATGTTGATGAAAGAAGAAGCTACAGGGTTATTTGTGGGTGGCTTTTTTGGGGGGAATATTTAATTTGCAGAATGTTTCTGGTTAAAAATAGGAATGCAGTCAGACAGGTTGAGTGTGAAGTTCTCTATAAAAGCCATTGATTGGAGTGCTCAGTCACTAATATGAAGTGATACCACTCATAAATAAGAGGTCAACCTTCACTGCAGTGCTGAAAGTACTTTACTAACCTGCATCATTAGGGATTTTTGGCAGATAAAATTGGGAGTAAAGACTTTTTTCCTTGAGATTGTGTTCATTTCGAGCTCTCATTCTTCTGTATTTCATGAAACGAATCTGTCTTCTGAGGAGGGATTAATTGAGGAGGGATTAACTGAGCAGTTCATCTTCCTGAAGGAGATTTTGAGGTATGATTTGTAAAAACTGGCGGTTGCTCAGATTTTCTGTCTCTCTTTGGGTGAAACTTTGCTGTAGAGGAGGCTCACCTTGCAGGTCGACTGAAGTGTTTTAAATATCTGCCTTTGCTTGAAATCATCTTGCTTAGAGCTTGCTGTACTCTGAAGGTTTTTAACCTGATTCTTGTAGTAGTGTGCTACTTGTTTGTGTGTTTTTGTCACTACTTGCTGCCATTGAGCTGCAGAGAGGAAGAGCCCCATCAGTGGGATGTCCTGGCTGTGCCCTCTGTGCCCACAGAGGGTGCTGCTGGAAGGGCTCTGCCTGCAGCACGGGAGGGGAGGATTCCTCGGTGCACTTGTCCCTGCCATCCCTGTCACCGTGTCACAGAGTTGAAGGCACTGATGGGTCAGCTCACATCCATGCTGCTGTGGGAGCTGTCCTGCCCCGTTTTCCCTGCTTGCCTGGAGGTGTTGCACAGGACCACAGCAGGAAAAAGCCCTTGTATCTCTTTCCTCCCAGCAGGAAAAATGCCATTCTGAGGTGGGTGGAGGGAGAGTGGGTGGTTCTCCTTGGCTGCTTAGGAAATATTGCTTTTATGTAATCTCTTCTCACACTCCAGCTCTGGGTGGAAAATAAAGGTTGGGTGTGGACATAAAGAGACCCTGGGAATTCGGGGGCTGGCAGAGCCATTGTGTGTTTGTGTGGAGTAAATGGAAGCCAGACCTGAGGAGGACTTTGTGCACTGTGCTGAGAAATGACAGCCCATGCTCCTGAAACCCAAACATCTCTCTCTGGGCTTGCAAAGTCTTCAAAAGATTTCAAATCTAGAATTTTGGGTCGAGATTGCTGTTGGCCTTTGGGCAGGAAGGGAACTGCACCTTCAGGGACTTGTTGTGCATTTTCCTCTTCTCCTCCTTACCCCAGTGGACTCTGTTGTCTTTCTTTGCCCTTCTTTCCTTTCTGTGTTTTCAGCACCTCCTCTCCCCTGGTTTATTCCCGGTTCCCTGTGAGCCCCTTTCCTGCCGGGCTCTCCGAGGGCCCGTGGTGGTACCTGGCCCCGCAGGGCTGAGCCTTGCAGTCCTTGGTGTCACATATTGATCCCTTGTCCTCCAGTGGGGGTTTTGTCCTTAAAAGCTTTTGCCACCACTGAGCTGTGACACCGCTTTGCTGTGCTCTAAATTTGGAATTGAGGTTTCTCTCTGTGTGGTCCTTAATGGAAAAGCGTCATTTTTAGAAAGCTGAGCAGAAATCCCTTTGGTCCAGCAGGAGTTGAGGGAGCTTCTAAACACCAAGTCCTGCACTCCAGCTTTGTTACTGTTTTAACTCCTGTTAGCTTCAAGGGAGCTTTATAATCCACAAAACACAGCAAGGGAGAAATGTTTTGCAAAACCAAACCAGCCAACTGTATATTGTGACAGGAAATGCAGGTCTGAGGAGACTTGGTTTTTGGAAAAGTGCTGGTGGGATTAACTTGAGTAAGCCAGGCAGGTCATGAGTGTCTGCAAGTGGCATTGCTCCTGCACAAAGCTGTGGTTCAGTGCCAAACCACAGCTTAGCTTAAAGCCTTGCCTCACTGGGTCATCGTGGATGTGCTGCTGCATCTACCATATTTCTCACTTCTTACCTTTCATCTCGTAAAATCAGTTGCTTCTATTATTGTTTGCTTTTAATTAAAAAACAAACAAACAACTGAGAAAACCATCTTTTCCAGTACTTGATTTTTGTCCAGGCAAATAGCAAAACTGTACTGAAAATTAAAAATCTTGTTTTAAATGCTTTAATGTAATTTCGCCTTCTGCCTTAATTTGGAAACTTCATACACGTTTCAGAACGAAATATCTTTACCTAAATGTTACTATTTTTGCATTAATGTAAAGCCAACAGGCCATGGTGGACCTGGAAAAAATACTGATGCAGAAATGCAGAGGTCTGGTTTTGCTTTGCCTGGTTCCTCATGGCTGGTTTTGCTGCTTTGGGTGGAAATTGGAGAGCTGGGTTTGTCTGGTGAGATATTAGGCTTAAAACAAACTCAGCAAGGCCAAACTGGCTCCTCGGATCATACCAAAGAAGGTTTTAAAAGCAATGCTTGCCCATGTTACAACACAAGAAAAATGAAGGTGTAAAGCCATCAGTCCTTTCCTGTTCCCAGTTTGCCCAGTATGGGCATGTGTGTGAGTGCTCTGCTTGGGGGGGTTCAGGCTTTATTTAGTGCTGGTACCTCAGCACGGTGTTGGGTTGAACCTCCTGGGGCTGCTGCTCTCCCAGCAGCGGGTGGGTGCTGGAGCCCCTCTGGCACGGGGAGCTGGGTGAGGACACTGTGGCACTGCCAGTGCCAGAGCAGCTGCCCTGCCCTGGGGGAGTGTTTCCATCCTCAGGACAGTGGCTGCTGTGCTGTGTCCCACCCTCTGGTTGGCACTGGCTTGGAGGGTGAGATCCCCCAGTGAGATCCACAGGGAAATGGGGGTGTTGTCTCTGCCACATCACCCGGCCCGTGTGGTGTTCCCTGGTTCTTCTGTGGGTGTTGGCTCTGGATCTCTTTGGTTTCCTGGGAACTGACTGCTCGTGTGCTCTGTCCCCTCTTCAGCCTGCCCTTTACTTCTGCTGAGGTTATTTGTTTGTTTTTCAGATGAGACCCTTTTTGCTCTTCCTGCTACACCTGCGCCTCTGATGCCCTCCTCTGCAGGCAAGTTCTCTCTGCTCCCCTTTGTCTGACCCCTCCTGCATTTCTGAGCTCATTAACCCTTTCCCTTTAGTCTGCCTTGACTGAAAGTCAGCACGGGTCCAAGAATAGCCTCTGTCACATTTCTCAGATTTGACTTGGCAGTCGATCTATTCCAGATTTTAATAAGCATTCATTTCTTGACATGGCAAACTGTTGGATGAACAAGATACAGCCATCTGTGAATTCTTGGACCCTTGATGTAGGAGAGAAGTCGATAGTGTTAACAGGTTAACATGTAGAGCATAGTTGCTTTACTGGTTTAGCAGAAAGATTTAATCCACAGTAACTTTCTGCAGTATTTTATAGAAGTAAAATTTGTACCTGTAGCATTTCTGCAGTGGGTTTGGTTTGGTACAGTGTCCACCAAATTCCCATTTATGAGAAGTGTCAGAAAAGCCTTTGCTGGCACGCATATGTTTATGGCCAAACACACACAGGTCCCCTCTCTCTGTCTCACCTTGCCACCCTCCCACTCTGACTTTGTTAATATTGCCCTCTGTACTTGCCCTGGCACCTTCAGCTTTACTGAGATCTTTGTGCTGCATAAAGTTGCTGCTTCTCCAACCTCTTCTGCTAGAAGTGAACTAGAGTAGCTCTAGCTGGATACTGTGTATTCATGGCTCCCAGTATCCATGGTAGAACTTGGAAAAGCCTCTGACTAACTAAAACCATGTGAACCTGTCTTGAAAGTTTGCATTGACTTAAGAGCACTTGCATTCTCTAACTTTCCTTTCTGTCACAGACAAAGGTCTGGACTTGCAGGAGCAGCCAGGTAGCACTAAGGCGCTTGGGCAAGAGGATTTCACTGCAGTCCCGCTTGGTCCTGCTCCTTCTCTCCCCTCCTTCTCTCCTCTCTCAGCTGAGCCCTTTAAAGAGCACACAGCCTTTGGTACACTCTCAGATGGATTACCTGCAAGAGGCATTTACCAGGAAAGTGCAAGTGAGGTTTATAAGGAAACAATGAAAAATGCCAGAAATCCCTTCCTTGCAGAGGGAAATGACAAAGACATTTCAGAGATGAAACACTCAGAACCCCCATTTGCTAAAGCAGAAGCAGCCATTTTCTCTCCTGCTAAAGAAGAAACACAGCTAGAGGGCCCTAAAGAATTACCTAACCTGGAGAAAATGCCTGCACAGCCTCTGAAAATGTCTCCAGAAACTCCCCAAGACTTGTTTGAGAGAAAGGAGGAAGATCTGTTCTATAGCAGAGACACGTCCGGGGCTGGTGATCACCGTGAGAAAGGGGCGCTGAAGGAAGACCCTCTTAAGAGGGAAGAATATGCAGATTTCAAACCGTTTGAGCCAATATGGGAAATAAAAGGTGCTAGTCATGGACTGAGCAGCGTGAGGGAGGATGTTGGAAGTAAGATAGATGCCAAACCGCAGAGCAGTTTGGATGAGAAATATGGTGTGGGGAAGCTGAATGTGCAGAAGGATTACGAAAGAGAGAGCGAGGGCAGTGCTGAAGAGCCCTCTTTCCCAAGTACCCCAGAAGCTGTAAAAGAACCTTCGCAGACTTACATCACTTGTACTAAATTTGACTCCTCTCCGAGTCCTGATGGTAACAAAGGCAAGTCTCTGTCTCCTCTGGAGGAAGTCACTTCAGAAAATAGAACCGACGACGAGAAAAAAATTGCCGAGCTGAAGGCTCAGACGAGCCCAGAACCAGGTAATTTTAGCGCTGGAGCAGTTGGCAGGCGGGAAGGGCAGGGGGCTGACTCTGCCAAGGCAGAGAGCGGGGCAGCAGTGCCCCCTGACGCTGCAGCCAACATGCCCGAGGGGCTCACCCCCGACCTGGTGCAGGAGGCCTACGAGAGCGAGCTGCACGATGCAGCGGGGACAAAGCTGGCTTACGAGCCCAAGATTGACTTGGTTCAGACCTCCGAGTCGGCACAGGAGACCCTGAAACCCGTGGCACAGATCTGCCCCTCCTTCGAAGGGGTGGAAGCCGCTCCCTCTCCCATATTGCCAGACATCGTCATGGAGGCCCCGCTGGGCACTGGGGCTGCCGGGGCAGAAGCGTCTGCTGTGCAGCTGGAAGCTTCCCCCTTAGACACCTTCAGTCCCGCTGCCAAGTACGAGAACGTCAAAGCAGAGGCTGAGAAACCTCCCGTGTACCAAGAGGCAGTGAATGTGCCTCTGACACAGCCCCAGGAAGCTAAAGAGGCATTAGCATTTAAACAGCCTGCTCCCGAGAGCAGCTCCACTCCAGAAGATCTGGAGACTCCTTATATATCCATTGCATGTGACTTGATTAAGGGAACAAAGGTCCCTGGTGAAGCTGCTGCTCCGTCCTTTCCAGAGTACTCGAAGGCACCGATAGCAGAATGCATTCCTCAGGATGTGCCTGAACACAAGGAACTGGAGGGAAAACTGTCCCCCCAGTTTGGCAAATCCGAGCTGTTTAGTAGCCAGGCAATAGCTGACTTTGCTGAGGAAGCCAGTGAGGATCCATCTCTCCTGCAAACAAGCAGATCCACTGAGAGCATTGCAAGTGAGGAGGAACACGAGGAAGCACTGGGGGGTTCAGCAGCTGCTGCAGGCAAGCCTTACCTGGAGTCATTCCAACCCCAGCTGGACTCTTCCAAAACTGTTGCTGCTCTACCATCTGAGCCAATACCTGCAAAACCAGCCAAGGCAGAGAAGATTGCTCTTCAGATGGAAGAGCTGGATGCTTTGGCGTATTCAGCTGATGTGTCTGTTGCTATGGAACCAAAAACAGGAGATGACAAAGCTCTCTCACCCATGGACTCTTCCCCAGTCTCAGTGGAAGATGACTTTGTGATGTTGGCTCATCCTAAAACCTCTCCTGAATTCATGACAGAAGCCACTGACAGAGAAGGAATGCACAGAGATGAAGAGATCAGTAAGGTGACCCAAGGTGAGAAGAGGCAGTTGCCTTGCCCAGAGCTGCCCTGTGACCTGTCTGTGAAGAATGTAGAAGTAAAAGCCAAGGAAGATACCAATGCCTTGAAAAAGTCCTTGGAGGCTGTGGACAGAGAAGTGCCTGAAGTACCCACGATGTCCTTACCGGCCACAGATACCTCACCTTTACCTGCTGACAAAGAGATAGTCAGTGTAGGAAAACCAGGAGCTGTTGAGAAGGAAGCTGAGAAAGAACCTGCTTCTGTTAAAGAAAAGAAAAAACCTACTGCTGTATTTTCAGCCAAGCTGACTAAATCTTCAGGTAATCTGTGTATGCTGTCTTGCACTTTGCTAATCCACATAATTCTGTAGCTAAACTTAAGCATGTCATAACTTGCTCTTTTTAAGTGTCTTTCTGTGAACTTCTCTCTGCAGGCCGGGGGTAACAGGCACCGTTAGTGCCTGCACTTGTACCTTCTCCACATTCTGATTGCTGTAGTGCCTTTTTTCTGTTTATCAGGGATGGACTCGCTGTCTCCAGTGTTCTCCTTCAGTTCTCCTGCCCATGGTGTGTCGATGCAGAAATCAGCCTCCCTGGCACTGGGTGGCCCCCCAAACTCTCTGACTGGGATAGGAAGCCATGGGTGGTGTGTGCACCTCATTTGAAAGAGGCATTTCTTCCTTTGCTTTAACAGTTTAGACATCAGACTTAGGAAAATAACCCTTCTGCTCCTGCGTGTGCCTGAGAACCTGGCAAAGAGCCTGTGCATCTCCACACTGCAGCCTGGCTTAGATCAGAGCCAGTGGTTTAAAACAAGTGCTGCACACCAGGGAGCTGAACATTCAGGTTACTAGAAAAGTGACCATTAAGAACTTGAGTATCCTGCAGATGCTAAAATTGGCTTATACACAGCCCAGGTATTAATTTCTGTTTCTCTTTCAGGTCAGGCTTGCACTTGGTTGTGGTTAATTTTTCTCAGGTGCAGTTACAGTAGCAGGAAGTTGAAGGAAGAATAAGAGCACTGTCATGTTGCAGTTTGTTCTCCACACTGAACACTTAGGGACATTTCCAGCCCTTGTAGACCAAAGGAGTGCTGTGGGATATCTCAGCACTGCTGCTACTTAAACCTTGACCAGAAGCATTCACACTAAAAACCAGCTCCTGCAGAAGCACTCTTTGGTGCTCTAAACAGAAACCCAGAGGTCAGTTTGACTCAGCAGCAGTGGTGTATTTGTGCAGCAGCTGCAAGCTGCAGTTCATAAAACAGAATCATGGGACATCCTGAGTTGGAAGGGAAGAACGGGAATGTTGAGGAGAACGTGAGTGTTGATGCAAAAGAAATAGGGTTTGGAAATTAAGGTGCAAAATGTTGTATTTCTGTTGACCTTTGCATGATAGCTGCCATTTCTCCTGTCTCACCTCTTCTAGACACACAGGTAGGCAGAAAGGAGAGTTTTCCTTTTCCCTTGGGGTGGAATTTCAGTGATACCTGCACTGCTAAAACACTGTGTGTGTTCTGCAAAGTCTCCTCTCCTTTCCCTCTGACTTCCAGCAGATCATATTGTCTGGAGAACAGCTGCTGTGGATCTGGGACTTCATGTCAAGGGTTAATTGCTTAGAGCTCAGACTGCTTTGAAAAAAACAGAGCAGACAAACCAAACCACTACACTTGTTATAGAGCTTCTGTGAGTTCTTGTAACAGGAGACCTTTGCAGAGGGGTCTTTAACCACGACGTGGGTCAGACTGGGGGTGGCCAAGCACTGCCTGGGGAGGGACACCCTTCCTTGGGCTCTGAGGAGGACACAGCTGCTGCTCTGCTCACTCTGGGGAGCTGCCAGAGGAGTGCACAAACCCATCTGCAAAAGCAGGAGGGAGCTGAATGTCCTTTTCCCATCCAGTGGCCCAGTGCTGGGGCACAACTGTGGCAGTGTTGGTGTGAGCTGGGCTGGGGCACTGCAGTCTGGCAGTGTTGTGTTTGCCCTAAAGCAGCTGCAGTTCTTGTTTGTGACGTGCTGTGTTGTTTGGGAAGAAATTTGTTCTTTATTCTGGAGGAACACTTGCTTAAAGCTAAACAGCTGAGAATACCAACTCAAAAAGGGGCCATTTCTTCTGGATTTTCTCCACGCTCTGCTGTTTGCTTTTTTGCTCACTTCTGCTGTATTCCAGAATACAGAACTGGGCCTCTGAGGCAAGCCCTGAACAACATGAGTTGTGTGCTGTGATTCCACGCTGCTTAGGAACAATTTCAGAGTGTCACTGAAGAACCAACGAGGAGTTCATCAATAGGCCAGGTGCATCTGTGCACGTGTTTGACCTTCTGAGTTTACCTTTACTGTGTGGGGGGTTCTCCTCTCTTCCCAGTAGTGGAACTGAAGTAGATTCTACTGGGCTTAAGACTTCTGGAATGCAGGTGGTGGGACTGTGTGACTGATGGTTGTTAATTATTCTGAACTGCCTTACTGGTGCACTTAAACCCCGGGATCTTCAGTGCTCACTGAGCAGTGCTGTTTTTTGGAAACTAGCCTAAAGGCCAGTGTGCTGTGAGTCCCCAGGGAGCTAACAGGGACTCTGAAAAGGCTGCAGGTATTTTCTAAACTTGACCGTTGCAGTAAAGCTTTGAAGAGCCCCTGGGTAGAAGGAGGTTTGTTTAGTGCTGCCTGGCACACCCTTGGGTAACCTGTTTTATGGTGTGTGACCTCGGGGACCTGGTACTTGAGAGCTGCACAGGTTTGAGGAACAAACAGCACCAAAAAAAGCCCAATAAATTCAGAACTGTTGTTAACTATAAAGAAACCTTGTAACAACTGTAACGCTCTCAAGGGCAAACCCCTCCCTGCAACAGCAGCAATTCCTGCTGGCCCGGATACAGTGATACTTTTTCCAAACTTGTGTTTCTCAGGCCCTGCTGTGTTTGGCTCTGAGCTGCTTCACTGTTTCCCTCACTGGAGCTCCAAATGGCTATTCTGAGCTCCATCGACGTGTATGAAGCTGGGACTGGAGAGGGGGTGTTCCCCACTTCAGATTGGTTTGTGTGCTGCTGGGCTGGGGGTGTGAGAGCAGGACAGGGCAGCAGGGCCTGAGGAGCAGTGCTGGCTTAACCCAGCTCCTGGGAGAGGCTTTAATGCCACCTAGTGTTTGTCACTGAGCTGGGACACGAGGGAGTCCATCCCAGCTTGGACAGTCTGAAAACTAAATATTGCATATCCCAGCCCTGCTGTTGCACAGACTTTGATAGGGAATCATTCGTTATCCCAAATATACTGGAAAACCGTGCTTTCCATAGACCTGGTTTTGATTGAAGGGATGTGGAAGATTTTATATTATTGATATTTATATTATTGGATTACAGACCCAAAACCTCTGACCATAACGAAGTTGTGTTCTAAAATGTAGATTGGCAGTTTAGATCTCTCAGTATGTTCTTGTTGAGATTATTTGGAAATAATGGTGAGGTCTTTGCTATCAGGGCACTTGGTTTCCCAGGACACCCTTGTTTCAGGGTGAGTTTCACCATCATTCCTTTCACCTTAAATCTAATTCATTTGCTTTCCTTACAGGCACTCAGGAGTGCAGCTAATCACTAATATTTTACATTTCCTGCATTTTCCTGAGAGGGCAAATGCAAAGCTGAAATCCAAATGGGAAATGTGCTTGAGAGAGTGTTCCTAACACCAGATCTTTCCTTTTTACTCCCAAAACACTGGGGCAGAAATAAACTATTTCCTGTGATGCTGGAACAGCAAACCAGGTCACTGCAGTTGTGTGAAGCATAAAGGGCATTAGAAATTCTGCCTGACACCAGCACATTTGGGTCATTTCTGTTACTTTGTGTTTGTAGTGACTTAAATGGAGCCATTCAGCAGATGGGAAGTGTTTTGTTTAGGTTTTTTTGTTGGTTTTTGCTGGAAGAAAAATACCTTGGAATGTCTGGAGTTTCTTCCAGAAGCAGATTGATAAAATTCCATTTAATTCAACATAAAGTCTTGATTTGATTTAATTTAATCTCATTGTATTCTTCAATTCTTTGCTTGCTCAGGTTGTCTTTTATGCAACCAGGTAAATAATAGTAAATGGAGACTTCGATTACAGGGTGAACTCACAGAGTAGGAGGAATGAGGAAAAAACAAAGCAAGGAGAGAAGTTTTTCTGAAGGAGAGACATAAACTTAGAGCTCTCAGGGCCCCTGTTGAGAGGCAAAGACTTGTGTAGCTGAGGCTGCTGGCAGAGCCAGGCCTGGGGGAGTTCCCTGCAGAGTGGCAGCATTGTGGACAAAATGGAGCATTTGGGGTAAGTCTCCACTTTCCCAGAGAGCTGGATGGGCAGCAGCATGGAGGGGGAGCACCAGGAGGTGGGATCCTGCCCTGGGGAAGGCAGGAATGCTGGTGCCAGTCCCCCTGGCCAGGGTGATTCAGTGTCTGCCTGGGGAGTGAGGGAAGTGCTCACCCTGCCCCGAGCTGCCCCTTGGAACCAGGGCTGTTCCCTGGCACGTGTTCAGAACTGATTGTGCCCGAGTTGTCTGGCTGGGTTGATAAAAGCACTTCTTAAAGGTAAAGCAGCCTGGGAGTTGGGCAGTTTTTGGTGTAAATGGCCTGGAATTTCCTGCTGGAACACTGCCCTTCTTCCCGCAGTTTGGCAGTGCTGGTGCCCAGTTTAGGTGTAGAACAGGGTCACGTCCTGCCTGAACTGAGAGCTGTGAGTCCAGGGGGATGAGGGTTTCCTTTGGGGAGTGCTGAGGGTGAACACAGAGTGAAGAGGAGGATCTGGAGGGCAAGGAGGAATTCCTGTGGGGGGAGCGAGCGGATCGCTGGAGCCGGGAGGAACGGGAATGGTGTCCCTGCTCTGGTGTCCCTGCTCTGGTGTCCCTGCTCTGGTGTCCCTGCTCTGGCTGCTGCCGCTCTGCCGTGGCCACCACAAAATGTCTGCTTGGGAGTAGTTGCATAATTGCACTGTTTGAAGTCTGTGGTAGAAAGAATAGGAAATTAAGAGGCTTTAATTGTGTATCCTCACAAATTTGACAATTAGTGAGAAGACCTTTGAAAGCATCCTATTTTTGTCTAATTTAGTGACAGTACAAGTGCAGAAGGAGACCACAGATTTTGTGGTTTCCAGTTCAGCTCAAAGACAAACACATTTTCAGACCTGTTTTGTCCTTTTTTTTTGTGCAGTGCATCTTTTCCCATTTGCTTGCACTGTGATGTTGGAATATAAACTTCCCAGGTCCCTCCTGTAGCACGTGTTTGGATTTACCTGTTGGAATTGTGACTGAAATGCACATCTTTGCAGAAGGTAAAAATAGATCTTGTTGTCAAAGGAGGCCTTAAATTTACGTAGCAGTGTAAGTAAAAACCAGAGCTTTTGGGTAAATTTGTAGTGATCTCTCTCAGTGAAAGATTTTCTAATGAAAAGTAAAACTGTCTATTTAAGACCTGAATTAGGATCTCTGG